ATATATATATATATATATACACACATAGACTTGGGATCACGTGAGACCAGACTGTTTTCGTGAGACCCGTGAGTCCAGCTTTTTACACTTGAAACTTCACAGCAAAATGCTGTGAAGGTAACCTTCACAGTGTTTTTGCTGTGAAGGTTCGACTTTTTTAAACCTTCACAATATTTTTGCTGTGAAGTTTCAAGTGTAAAAATGTGATTTCACGGGTCTCACGAAAACAGCTTGGTCTCACGTGAACCCAACCCTACACACACACACACATACACACACACACACACATATATATATATATATGTATAAAGAAAGAGAGAGAGAGAGAGAGAGAGAGAATCATGTGGGAAGTTAAACATTTTGTAAAAAGACGAAAAGTTTCAATATCATATAAAGATGAGACTGAAAGAGAACCTTGAAAAATAAAGAACCAAATAACTCATCCAAACTGTTAAAATGATTCAATAGATGAAATTAAAAAGATGGTCATAAGTTATAACCACCTTTTTTCAAAAAAAATACAAATATTTGCCGCTAGTTTTTAAATCGGCAACAAGAAAACAACAAAAATCGAAGCAAAACAAATTATATCAAAAAAATGATCACTTTATTATGATAGAGGTCGCGGACTAGGTCGCCCGTGCACCTTTGAATTGACTTGTGTTCATAATCACATGTAAATCCGAATATGATTTGGCCGTTTTTTCGTTATCTTCTCTCTCTCTGTATATATATATCTCTACTATATTATAAAACATTTGACAAAAACTCTTAAAAATAATTTTTTATGCACAAAGTACTGTTTATTGATGCATATTACTTAAAATTCAAGATTATAAGTAAATTATGTGTAAGTAGAACTTATTAAAGCTCCGTATTCGAATTCGTGTAACTAATTGCAGATAAAAATAATTAAATACAAGATAAACATCTCATTTTAAATTAAAAAAAAAAAGATAAGTATTGAGTTCTAACTAACGGTATTAACTCCAGAAACCATGAGTGTTATGAAATTGAAAATATAAGAATCACCAACATATATAATTTGTTTTAGGGATCAAATAACAAACCACAAGGACCACCAATGTGATTCATCCTATATTAAAAACTACGAATAAAACACTAAAAACATAACAAAAAAACTAAAAGAGTAACAAAAGAAAAAACAACCACCATGGCACTCCTAAGCCACCATGGAGGTTGAGGCATCGGAGACACGCGTCACCAGTTACAGGATTAACTGTTACAATGACACGTCTTTTAGTAGGTTATGTACTAAAAGCTAAGAAGTATAAAACTAAACATAATTGAATCAATATGCGCTAATGTTGGTTTTCGGTTCACAGTTTTATTTTAGTCAACTTGGTTCAAGTTTTTCTAAATATTGGTGGTTGTTTCAGTCCAGTCTGTTCAAAAGCAAAGCAAAACCTTTTTTCACTACAATAAAACTTGAGTTCTATGATACTTTTCGGAAAGTGCTATAAAAAATTAATACGAGGATCTAGTTTTTGAATCATATTAGGCTCATTAAGTGTTGACTACTTTTTGTTTCAAATGAATATAACTTGTTAGATTGCTCAATTTCGTCCTAGAATGCCTTTGAACATTATGCACAATCATTGGTTCTACAAATTTGATCTGTAATTATTAAGTACTGTATTAGGATGGTTGTGGCATGTCGGTATCCTAACATATCATTTTTGTGCTACTGTTTTTTAAAAAACCTTAGAGACAACATTGTGTTAGATTTATATTTTCAAACTAAACATGTGTTTGACCCATGATTCGGTTTAAGAAGTCAATCGTTTTGTTGGTTAAAGTCAAAGATGGACGATTGTGGATCCACACACGTTTGTGCCCGTGTGTCATCTAGTTTACTTTTAGAAACCAAATAATCTGAAAGTACCAAAGAGAATATTTCAAGAAAAGAGATGAGAAAAGAGGACGTAGTAATATAAGATACAGTAAGGAGCTATGTTATGCCCTGATGACAACGCCATGATTTACTTGTATTATTATAGCATCTGGACCACAACCAAGAGATAATATATACACTGATTATGAAAAACTTTAACAAGGTCAGTGGTCTTGACTTAGAGACGATTTTTCTAAATTAAAATAATATGTGGTGTTTATGATACTGTAGTATTAAAATATGTTATTGGATGGATGACATAACTTGCATTTCATACATCACTCATTTATATACGATCATTG